CGGAGGTAAAAAAAAAAACGGTAACCTGGTTGCCGAGTTCACGAAGTGAATTGGCTTGTTTTACAACGTCCTTGCCAAGCGACGAAAACCCACTCCCGATGGCAAACACCGGGGGGGGCGGCTTGTTTTACAACGTCGTTGCCAAGCGACGAAAACCCAACCCCGATGGCAAACACCGGGGGGGGCGTAAGCGGGGGGGACACAACACAAGGCCGAAGGGGGGATAGGGGCGAAGAGTCTCACCCGAGCGACTCTGAGTTGATGTTACCCTCTCCCAGCTTTCGCTTGCAATGCACCTCTGTTTGCCCCATATGCGTGCGCGATATACGGGCTCCTCGCTTGTTCTCTCCCTTGTATGCTACCACTACTTTAGGTTGTATACGTGAGATACCACACCCCCCGGACCGTTTGCTAAAGATTGGTAACTCTGCAGCACAAAAAGTGACGGTGCCGAACATGGTGGCCTCAGAACTGTCTCGTCGAGCGCTATGCAAGAGTGTATCATTCGATTTCGGCATCCAGTTCGTCGTGCAGTGCTCGAGCTTTCAAAATTGATTCGGGGGGCATGGTGTCTTGTACGCAACCCGCGGTACTTTTGTCGTGCAAACCACCGAACTCGATGTGAGATCTCAACAGCAGTGCCATGAAAAAATAGAAACATGTGCCAACCAAGTCTTACACATTCGGCCACAACCCCTCCCTCCCTCTCTCATGGCAAAAATAGGATTTGGCCCAGCATCCGCAAGGATCATGACCAGCTTCTGCATCACTCTTGTAAACGCACTTGAGCCTGGGGCAGCGAATCCCGGGTATATTCCGGCATTGTAGGGATGCGAGGTCTGACGACTGCGGCATGAGCCTACATGAGTACACCCCGCCTCCCTCTCCCGCCCTTCGGGACATGCCTACAATACATGGATCTCCGACAGTCTCGAGATATCCCAAAATCTCGTCGTTCGTGATCCGGAGATCATTCGAGTTTTCTCTCTGTCCCTCTCTCTCTCCCTTTTTCTCTCTCTCTCCCTTTCCCTCTCTCTGTCTCTGTCTCTCTCTGTCTCTCTGTCTGTCTGTCTCTCTCTTTCTTTACACATTTTGTTAGTTGGTGGGGGACGCACATCTCGAGGAAGCAGGGACTTCGAAAACACCTCCGCCCAGGCCCAAGACGAGTGTCGGTTGCCGCGGTGAGCGATATCTCTGAAGAATCGAGTTGTCGTGATGTCCCCTCCTTCAGCCTGTCGCAAAGCCTCCTTCCCCTAAAAACAAAACGCAAACCAGCAGAACATTCGGTGAGTATAAGTAAGGGTGCCCTCTGGACAGGGCTGGCTCATGAGAGGAGGAGCACCGCAGCGTCATCAAAGGGCGTGATGAAACATGAAACAGGAACGACGAAGGGCTGGCTGCCAGCTAGCTGTGACGTTGTCCACGCCCGAATAGCCCGGAAAGCTGACCGTGCTTCGACCCGAAGAGCACAGCGAACCACACCGAACGGAAAGGAAAACACTTCCTTCCTGAAGTATTACCAACTGTATATGTACAGCAGTTAGCGCCCGCACCTAAGAAGTACTTCAGTTTCATTTGGCTGATGCTTGTTTCTAATCTTCTCTATGAGGCACCTCCAACAGCGACTATAGAATAGGTTCTAGTGTAGGATTGTTGACTGAGCAGCTGTTGCCATAGCCAAGTTCTTACGTTGTTAGCCTGAGTTTCTTAACCCCCAGGTTCCCAAGTGCGAGCTCTAACTTTGTAAATACGTAAATACTACTGTACGAAGTATACGCAAACCTAAGGGACGGCACACACCTGCAGGAGTGGTCAGCGACTGGTTGAATGTAAACATCACATTGAACCATCGCTATGGATGATGTTGCGTCATGCTGACGACAACCCTCGACACGGCCTTCGCTCGATAACGGTCATGAAGGCGTTGCTTGCAGAAACGTTCTGATCCCTCGTGTATAGTGTAGAACCACACGCAGGCAGTCAAGCTATGGGTGGTGCCTACTGCTGCAGGCTAGAGCTATGTGATTTACAAGACTGGTAAACTGGTATCTGCCGTGCTGTCGAGTATTCCAGAACGAAAGCTTGATCACTCCAAGACGGTCTTGATTTATCTGCTCCTGCTCTCCCCCGACCCCGATGGTCTATCTCTGCCCAATGCATATTAATTTCATAGCAACAACAGTAGACCATAACGTTGTTTTTCTTCTGGGAAGTACTGAGATCGTTTCGCCTACAACACGCAGTTTATTTGCTCATGAAAGCACTCGCATCCCCTTCTACTTAGATCCTGCTCGCACATCATCCATGGGCAGCGGGTGATTGTCGAGAACCGCCGCCACCGCCCTGAAGCGTTCCAGACCCTCTCCCTTCGCCGCCGCCGCCGGCGCAGGTGCGGCATACCCCAGGATGTGTCGGCCGCGGGGCCACCTCTCCTCCATCGCCTTCAACACCCGCGACACCTTCGACCGCGCACGCCGGCGGAGGGAGGGTTCGTCGTGCAGCGATGCGGTGGGTTTGCGGGGTAGTTTGGCTGGCGTGAGTGGGGATCGATTCGAGAGCAAGACGTGTGGGTGGATGGGTTGTGTTCGTTCTGCAGCTGGGAGGACATGTCTGGGTCCATCGGAGGCGGAGAGTCGCTGTGGTCGGGAATGGTCGAAATGACGTCCCATCGATGGAATGGGACACGCGACGGCCATGCCCTATGCATACGACTTTGTTGCTGTCATAGCTGTTGTGGTGGTGTGGTTTTACTGATGCTACTTTAATAGTTTGGCAACGCAAACCCTGACTTGAAGTCTTAACCCTCATATTTAGGACCCAGTCCATCCGCAAAAAAAATATGTCGCAAAAATGTTTGTCAGCTATTGGTGGAGGGGCTGAAGTCCTTCCAAGGAATCTGAGTTCCTTGCCAGATAAAGGGTGACTTGGCTTCAGAATGAGAAGCGTCCCCAAAACACGCAGGGACATGTGCCATACTGAAGCCAAGCCAGCAAATCCTTCCAGTACTAGGCCATGTACAGCAGTTTTACAGCAGTTTTTCGACCGAGAGGGCACGCGGGTTGGGAGATGTGAGCAGCACAGCGTACCACCTCAGCAAAGCATGATAGACCAAGGGTTCTTACGTACGTTGCACACAGCGGAGCCTAGGGTCACTACATTGCGGTAAATAGGCATTTGAGTGCAATGTCCCCCCAAAGTGTCCCCATTTGGGCTTCCAGTACTGGGAGGGTCAACAGCAGTAGCAGCAGCAGCAGAAAACAGCAACAACAGCAACAAGAACGTGCAATCGTTGGTTTCCCCGCAGGTGACAGCAATAACAGATAGTCTACTGGCTGTAGATACTGGGATGTGAGCCTTGAACTAAATATGACCGTTCCGCTCAATGCACAGCAATACATGCAGCACATACGCTGTCCGGTCGCCCCGGTGGTCTAGTGGGTAGCCTCGCAGCCTGCTAAGCACCAGGTCATGGGTTCGAGTCCCGGCAGAGAGAGTTTGTTTCTCACAAAATAGTCTAAATCCTGGTCTAGGATGAAAGCGACGCGCTGCAGAGCTCGTTCGTTAGTAAACCATAATCCGCGTCGTAAGTCGCGAGGGAAGGGATTGCTGTACCCTTCTCGCGATAAAAATACCTGTATGAACCGAAGGAGGGGGTCCAACCCCCCCTCCTATGTGACCCCGGTTGGATCGTCTAGCTAGTAGAAGTGGAGGATAGGGGCCAGAGGGGCAGACGACAGAGTTCAATGATGGGAGAAAAACAACAACAACACGCATTATTGTACATGCGTTTTACAGACAAGCTTCGAAAATGATCGCCCGGCTGCGCTCACGACGATGTGGGGTTCAGTGACACGCTGCAGAAACCGCCCACATCACCTCATCTTCTGCATCGTCTGCTCGTCCTCCTCCTCCTGCTCCTCCTCTTCCTCTCCTTCCTCCTCCTGCTGCTGCCCCTGCAGCAGCTAGGTCGTTGTGCGCATCGTCATCATCAGCAACCACCTCGTCGTCCTCCTTCTCGTCATCCTTGCCTTCACGCGAAAACGATGCCAGCATCATTGCCCCGCAAGCTGTAACAACTGCTTGGCTCTCCTCCTAGAAGTAACAACCTGGAGGGAAAGCACGTTGGTTTCTGTGAGACGCGGCTATGTTGTAACAGCAGCAGCAGTTGGCAGCGATTAAACGGCCACTAGGAAGGGGTTTGCGGCGCTCGCAAACAATGGGTGTGCTGCAGCTATGCATGTTCTGTGGTAGTTGGTAGCGGTGCAGCGGCCATCAGGTTATAGAGAGGAAAGGAATCATCTCCGGAGATCTCTTATGTCTCACACCTCACACGCGGCGCTCGCTAATCAGTCGGGTGTGTTCTATTGCATTAGCGGCTGCGCTTTCTCTTCCTACGGCCCGTCGTTCCACGGACCTTATCTTGCTTTGAGACGATGCCGTGTAGCAGGCCAAGTTATCACGCGTGGCGGGTGTCGACGGACCAGGTGCAGTTTAAATTACACCACAACTCCCTCATCTGCGGACAAACTGTGGCAACCAATTCTTAGGAAGTACTTTCTCCCTTCTTCCCCTCGCTCCTCGACAAGCTTTTGCTTAGACATGGGTTATGGATTAGTACGGAGAGATTGAGACAGAAGGAGGTACTAGATAGAGAGACCGGGATGCAACAACAACAACAACAACAACAATGTCAGAAACAACAACAACAACAATAGTTGAACGGGATGTGGTTGAGTCTTTTCAGTGTGTTCAGGAACACCGGCTGGATAAGTGGATATTTCGAGTCTTTTTATAGGCCTATGTCAGTGCTGGGGAAAACAGCAACACGGTAACGGCAACTTGACTGTTGAGGGAGAAGGTTTCTGACAGTCCCGGAGGTGCAGTCGCAAACAGCAGCAATACCGCAACACAGCCGTTGTACTTCGTTATTCCTGTCTGCGTCCCCCCTACCAGCCCCCGCTTTGCGAGCTTGGGGGCAGATCTTGACCTGCTGGGTGTGGGGCAGCAAGCATTCGAGGAGAGAGTGGGTAGAGACCTTGGAGAGTAGGTGGGGTCGCGGTGCTGCTGCGTGGATGCCGATCACCTGAAAAGCTACACGGCGCTATTTTTTAGGACGGAGAGGAAGCAGCCCCGGGGCGAGCGCTCTTGTTGGAGGAGGCGAGTGCGAGTGTAACGAGGCATGAGCGAACTTTGGACATGCCGGTGTTGGGTCATCTTGACTGTCTCTGCATGACCACGTTCCTTGAAAAGAAGGCCGGCGCCTCTCCGGCTGCGATAGGCGGCACTGTACTGTTACCGCTACAGCGATTTGAACACGCCCCACTTGAGACCTGTCGAGGGCTAACGCTTTACAGCAGCAGCGTTGCTACCAACCGTGTGCGTGCGCGTCCGTAACATGTGCATTTTGCTGCCGCGGCCGTATAGACCGCACGACGACCGCGCGTTCCATCTTTCTCGAACAGCACTACTTTTCATGTAGTATAGTAATCCCACAACCAACCATGCCGATATCGGAAGAGAGCCACAATATGCAGTTAGACATCGACGATCAGCGCACCGGCGTGTAGTCTAGAAGCAATGCCCAGCTCGCGTGGGAGGGCGCTGACATCACTCTGCAATCAGCTGCTGCTGTAGTGTGGACTACATTAGACTTCATGTTGTACAGAGTAGTCTACAGGTTGCACGCTGAGGCTTGTATGCACAAGCCTTGTTTGCCGTTGGGTTCCATTCATGTACACATGCATACGCTGTAGACATACAGAACACACCTAAAATACCCTGTACGTGAACACCTCCAATGTATTTTTTGTAAAACGAACTCCTACGCAACCCATCCATCCCATGAAACAGGGGACACGACCCTGTACGCTGTACCTCCACAGCAGTGTACTGCTGTGATACAGCGTACTGTTGTGGTGTCATTTAGTGCTGTAGCGATCGGAACACATCCCAATAGATCTGCCTCGGTTGGCTGTGTATTTCGCGTTGAATGTGAAAGCACGCTCGCCCAGGTATCATCATTCCACCGCGCTTTTTGTTCGGTACACAGCAGTTACAGCAGTGTTGTCCCAAAAGAGCAGGAGCTCAGGCGTGCCTCACACAATGTCGTTCCCGACCGCCACAGGCCACAGCGGTACTGTGGACAAGATCGGTCCATTGTCTTGACATTTCATCTTTGTCGTTGGAACGTTCTCCGCCGTTGTATTGCCTTTTTGTTTGAACAATTTAAAGCAAGGACACACTTGTGCGGTAGGGTACTCCTTCTGCACCCAAGGGTTGTTACAGTACTTCGTAGTTGCCTGCAGGTCACCGCGTCTCGCTCACACGTTGTAGTCACGAATTTCCCCCTTACAACAACGTCTTAATACCAGCAAAAAGCGATTTAGCATGGGTCCCTGTTCATGGCCGAATAGGGTTTTGGACGGCCTTATACCGGGCACCCGGCACTGTCCAGAGGATGACACTAGTTGGATTTACTGCTCCATGTCTTTCACGCGACTTCATCGGCGACCGGCCTTGTTTCTGCACCCCGGGACCATCTACTGCTGTAACCCCAACACACCTTGAATTAGTTGGCGCCGCCATCCAGAAACACCACACCTGACACCTGCTGTAAATTCACCAAGAAAAGTGTGTACCATGTATAGCCCAAGCACTTCTTATGGTACCTTTTCCCCACTGTGTTGCCCAAGCGCTTGATATTGTATGCTTTCGTACGCATTCCTTGTTCTCGTGGGTGGTCGGTCGCCTTGGCCTGGCTTGAGTTGCATGGACACGCGAAAGTGAACACCTCTGAATTGGAGGCATCGGGTTCTGGCCTGAACAACAACGAGCCGATGTCTCACCTCACAAGAGGGGCTCTTGATCCCTGAAGTACACGGTGGGATTTCGAAGTGTGCATCCCGCGGAGACACTTCGCAGGGGGCGACCTTCGTTGACCTGTCGTGCACCAGTACCGTATTCGACACAAGACGGCACACGCACATAAGACATCCCAAACAGAATTCAACGCCCGGTGCTATTTTATATTTTTGGACCCAAACAAGGAGCCCAAAACCACCCGGGTTAGACCACTGTTTATGGCAAAAAAATCGTGATCTTGATTCCTCAAAGCCTTGGCAAGATAAATGCGACCCCCCCGAGATCAAGATTACAGCCCAACGTGGTTATGGTTTGCAGTCACAATATCGTTGATTAAACAAGAGNGCAACTGGCATACGGTTTAATGTGAAGTCAACAACAAACAACAACAACTACAACGGATTTTATGGTGATGGTGTGTTGTGGCTTCTCACTTGTTATATATTTCCTCTTTTCCCTCCTTCCTCCGTGCAATCAAGTCCTTTTTCCCGGCTATCACGCTACCACGGCTATCACGCCAATCCTGGCTATCACGCCACCCGGCTACCACGCCTTCCGGACATCCACGTCCTTCCTTAGACTCTACCTTGTTACACCACGACTATCACGTCACCAGGCTTCCACGCCACATCCAGAGATACCATACTCGAGCTATCACGCTCCATCCCAAAGTAGAAGGCTGTCGCGCCCATCATAATTCCTACACTGCTGTACCGTTGGCGGCTACCGCGCCGCTAGCGTCTTGGATCGTTTTTTTGACGCATGGTATCCATGCGTCCTTTGGTTCTGGTGTGTCGTGTGTTATTTCGTCATATATATTCGCCCAAGGTCAAATGTCGCGGACATGTCGCAGAAGCATTGGGAAGTTCTAAGACCACTGTTTATTGAAAAAAAATCTTGATCTTGATTCCTCAAAACCTTGGCAAGATAAATGCGACCCCCCCGATCAAGATCACAGCCCAAACGTGGTTATGGTTTGTAGTCACAATATCGATGATTAAACAAGGGGGGGGTGTAGGTGGAATTCAAAATACGGGGGCAACGTGCCCCTGCCGAGACAGCAACGGACGCGNTCTTGATCTTGATTCCTCAAAACCTTGGCAAGATAAATGCGACCCCCCCGATCAAGATCACAGCCCAAACGTGGTTATGGTTTGTAGTCACAATATCGATGATTAAACAAGGGGGGGGTGTAGGTGGAATTCAAAATACGGGGGCAACGTGCCCCTGCCGAGACAGCAACGGACGCGCTGCAACTCAGCGCACACCAGTACACAAGCAGCTCAGCGAAGTCATGGAGGCCGATCAAGCTGCCGCTGCACGAGCGCTAGCCCAGGAGGCTGCTCTCAGGGCGCGGGACGAAGCCGAGCAATCGAAGCTCGGCGTTCCCCTCAGCAATGATCTGTGCTGCTCAAGAACAGCGGCAAGGTCATGAGCGCCCTTGCTCAGAAGACGTTCCAAGCCTTCCCGAT